GCGGCACAACCAATGGACGTCACCGAGCTGGCGAAAGTAACAAGACAACTGATGAGCTCAACAGTCGCCTCGGTGGCGTGTGAAAGACAGACTGATGATGTCGTGAAGAAGAAAGAAGAATTACAACGAGAGGTGGCAGCGTTACGAATAAAGGGTGAAAGAAATAATAAATGCTATATTTGCGGAGGAACCGGATATTGGAAGAGGAATTGCCCAACAAGACGAAAACGTAGACATTTTAGACCATATACAAGGTGTTCTTTGTCTTTCGAAACTGGGGGTCTCGGCAGTAGTAGATAAGGGGGCGGTCTATGCGAGAGTAGGGATAAACGAGCGAGAGGTAGTGTGCCTGATTGAAACAGGGGCGGCAGTTTCGTTAATAGACAAAGAGCGGTGTAGAAGTATCAGGCCGAGTGCATTAGTTGTTAACACCATTGGAGGCCACGTGTTAAAAATCCTAGGAGTCTCAAATGATATCGTGAAAATCGGCAGTTCGGAAATACAGTTCCCCTTTGTAGTGACTACGAACTTGTCGAGACCAATACTAGGAGCAGATTTCTTGAGTAGGAGCAATTATTGATACAAGAAGTAAGAAGGTGATTACAAAGTACGGCACACTGACAATACATGAAAGCAGCGAGGTGGCTGAGGTTAGAGTAGCAAAAGAGGACATTGGAAAGAAACAGAACATTAACGAGGTGCTCACGAAATTTCGAAGTTGTTCACAGGAGACGGAGAACCGTACGGGTTTTGTAATAAAGTCAAACATGAAATTCCGATAAAGAACGAAGAAGTAACCATCTTTACAACACGACGGGTTCCCGTACATTTGGAAGCTGAGATAAACCAGCAGGTACAGATGTTAAAAGCAGGTATAATTGAAGAAGCAGATAGCCCGTACAGCTCAGCGGTACTTTTGGTAAAGAAGCCAAATGGAAAGTATAGATTCTGTGTTGACTTTAGAGAACTGAATAACGTGACAGAAATAAAACCATGTGCAATGCCAACAATAGCGGAGACATTAGATCGTCTACAGAGTGCTACGGTGTTCACAGTGTTAGATTTACGGTCGGGCTATTGGCAGCTACCAATAAAAGACAGTGATCGCAGCAAAACGGCATTTATCGTAAGGGAGAAGCAGTACCAATTTAAACGAATGCCCTTTGGATTGGCGGGCGCACCGTTTACGTTTCGAAGACTAATGACATTAATGCTCAGAAACCTGGAGAATGTCGAGGTTTATGGCGATGATTTGGTCGTATATAGTCGTACAGAAGCAGAACATGTGAGTCACGTGGAGGCTGTCCTAAGGCGAACTGATGAGTTTGGTTTACGAATTAACAAAGACAAGTCTCAGATAGCGAAAAGAAGCGTCACGTTGCTGGGGCATAAAGTAGGCAATGGAGAAATAAAACCACTGCCGGAGAAGATTCTAACGATAAAGAATATTGCAGTTCCCAACTCAAAAAGGAAGTTAAGACAGTTCCTGGGAAGAGCGGCGTTCTACAGCAGATTCGTGAAGAACTTCAACGATATAGCAGCACCTCTATATAAAGTGCTAAGCAATGCGAAGTTTACGTGGCCAGAGACCGCTCAACAAACTTTCAACCGAATCAAAGAGCTTTTAGATGACCACCAAATGACTCTGAGACTGCCGGAACCCGAGAAGCCATTTACAGTGACCACTGATGCGAGCGATCACGGTATAGGTGTGGTCTTGAGGCAGTCTGAAAGAGTGGTGGAGTATGCCAGCCGTGTCCTTACGCCGACAGAACAGAAGTATTCCACAGTAGAAAAAGAGCGTTTAGCGATTGTATGGGCGGTAGACAAGTGGAGACCGTATCTACTGGGTCGGCGATTTCACATCGAGACGGATCATAAGCCCCTACAATGGTTGAAAACAGCAAAAGACTCTCGGGGGAAGTTGGCTCGATGGATGCTACGTCTGCAGGAGTATGATTTAAGCATCGGGCATGTGCCAAGGCAGGAAAATGTAATGGCAGATTATTTGTCAAGACCGGACACCGAAGCCGAACTTCCAGAGATAGCGTGTGCAGTTAACGGCCTAGAGGGAGATCCCCTAGAACTCGTCCAACATCAGAAAGCCGACCCTAATCTTCGGGAGGTAATCAGAGTGATAAAAGAGGGAGAAGATGTCGACAAGAGTGGAACAGACGAAGAATTAACAGTGTTGCTGAGGCAGAAGGAGAGACTGAGAGTGAACGGATACGGAGCCTTGACCTGGCGGGATGATGACGAGAATTGGGTAGCAATAATCCCAAAAGATCTGTGCCAGGAGATGATTCGTGAATGTCACCAGGTAGCGCACACAGGTATTGCACGGACAACTGATTTGCTGCGACAAAGTGCGTACTGGCCAGGTATGAGAGACGATGTTGCACGATATGTGTTAGCATGCCAGCGATGTCAACTAATGAAAGGGGATCGATGCATACGACCGCCATTGCAGTCAATTCCAGTAACAGCAGTTGGTGATTTGTGGTCAGTAGATGTTATGGGACCGTTCCCGCAGACGACAAGTGGTAACCAGTACCTGCTGGTGGTGACTGAGCATGCCACACGATGGGTAAATGCCGTGCCGATGGCGGACCAACGTGCAAGGACGGTGACGGAAGCGGTAATGCGGCACATTGTGGCGGACCATGGGATACCAAAGATAATATTAACCGATCAATGTCCCTGTTTCGAGAGTGATGAGTTCAAGTCCCGTCTAAAGCAGTTAGGTATCAAGAGAGTACGAACAAGGCCGTATCATCCACAGACCAATGGGTTAACGGAAAGGAATAACCGAACGCTAAAGGAATGGCTAGCATCTAAAGGGGGTGACTGGGAGAAAGAATTACCATTAATCTTGCTGGCACATCCTGCCTCGGCACAGGGAACAACCAGGAAGTCACTGTTCCAGCTGATGTATGGCAGACGGCCGAGACTACCAACGCATGATAAAACCTGACCGCAACAACAGAGATGGAATACAACAAGATTGAGAACAGAGCGGAGACAAGCAATCAGGAATGTGAGAGAGAAACAAACATCAGACATGCAGAAGTCAGAACAGGAGACCGTTTGAAGTGGGAGACCAGGTGAAGTGTAGAGAACGTAAATATACCACAGGAAGAGGGCCAGGGTCAGGTAAGCTAATCCCGAAATGGGAGGGACCGTACGTCGTCACCGAGAGGCGCGGCGCAGTGTATACGATCCAGAAAGGAAACAAACGGAAACGCGTGAATGCCAGTGAACTCCAAAGGTGGTTCCAAGTGCGCCAAGAGGGCGAGCCACAAACACTGATAAAGAAGACGGCTGTACGGAGATCAGAAAGGCTGAGAGAGCGACTTGTTAAAGGAGGGACGAGTGTGGTGTGTGCTACTTATACGAACGATATAAGTAGTATAAGAATGGACGTGAAAGAAGAAGTCTCACGGTCAGAAGAGGAAAACGGAAAGCAAATAGAGCAAAAACAAGAAATAAATAGAGCATCGACAGGAAGTAAAGGAAGCAACAGCAGGAATGGAAGAAGGCTGGAGCGTTGGAAGTCAGGACTCAAAGATGGTGTGCAAATAGAGTGTTCAATGTGATGTTTTCGTTTTTAATTGACTGAGTGTAAATTCGCCAAATACAATCTATCGAGCCTGCCTCGGTCTTCTCAGTAGTACTGTGTTCTATTAAATTTTAATCTTCAGAATTCTTCTCACTTCACTGAACTATACTTCTTGAATAATATTTTCGAGGCTTTATTTTCTCCATTACCGCTAATTCTTCTTCATCTATCTCCGCCACTATTGGATTTGAACTGACAGTTGGCTCTCTGTGCTAATGCGGTATGGCAACCCGAACTGATGTACGTACATGCGAAGTTCTAGGTTGTAACTGACTGGCTGAGTCGAGGTACGTGATGGGTGAGCATACAAAGCAGACGACGCCTCAACTTCTCCAGTCTATAAATATTCGTCACATAATTGATCAGATCCTCATTTCTACCGATTAAAATGTGTTATATATCAGGATTGTTCACTCAGTAGTAACAACATGTGCTTGGAAGGCAATTACGGTCGAACACTATGAACTTAAGTATATATTTAATTTTTAACGCTCACATTTCACAGCCTGATACAATGTCCAGAAAGTAGGCCTAGCATTCAGGTGTTAATTGACTAAAGAATGAATGACATACAAGCCATTTTTTTCCAATCACATGACTAGTTATCTTGTTTTTATTTCACATCATTCGGAAGCTCATGTCAATAATTCGTTCTAGTGAGAAGTCATTACTCAGACATATCATGTCATTTCGTTCATCCATCGACTGATATTCGATTACGAATTCGCTAAATAATCAACCTCTGGAACATAGCCACAAGGCAAAACAGAACTAACTGTTGCGGAGTGTACCTGCTTTTAGTCGGTAGACGCACATTCAGCCAAAGCCAATAGAGATTTCCGAACCCGTGTTAAGGTTTCGTCAGACAAACTAAGGCTCATGAAACTACTAAAATAAGCGAAATAGTGAACGTACTCAACTACTTAACTTCCTATAATCAATTTAGGCAACAATGCAAATCACTTGATACGACGTTTAGCATTTTGAGGATGTGATACACATGCCAAACGAGCTTGTATTGTCTTTGAAGTATTGCTCGTATATTTTGGGAACACCAAATAGATAATGCATGGGTTAAGAATAGGATAATAGGTAAGAATGAAAAGTTGATTGGTGAGGCAGTGAATCACCATCAACTAAGGTGGTTGGAACGCGTGTTATGTATGCCCAACCACCGCCTTCCGAAGGCTAGGATATACAACTAAGATACAAACAATATAGATTTTCTTCCAGTTGGCTTAAATCGACAGGCTACGCATTTAGTTTAAAAATGAACCTTGAAAAAGAATTAGTATTGATGAGCATTCAAATTAAAGCTGTTACTATTAATTTAATCAATCTACACCCAATAAAAGTTTATGTTAGGCTTAATTAAACTTACTAATACAACCATACTGAAAAAAGTGAATGCAATAACAGTCCGCGGTCCAACGGGTGAAGCATCATTGTGGGTGAGAAAATCTTGTTCTGTATTTTGCCAGCGGTTGCAGAGTAAGCAGAATGCAATCAGCCATAGGAAGAACCAAATACCTATAGAATCCAAAGGTATTGGAGGTTTATAAATGCGTTTTAAAACTTCGATTCCAACTTCAGAACTTGGAAAAAGTCAGTTAAATAAAATATATTAATTAATTAAATACCAAAACATTTAAATACAAAAGAAGAATATATTAGGTCGTTAACAAATGATACTCATGTTAACAAAGTTGTTCCAAATTCACAAAAGTCGATTTACTATGGTGACGCCAACATTATCCAGTCAATATTATGTGGTTACTAAATACTTATTTGTACTGAAGTTGTATAAATTATTTCATTAAAAATTACGGCCAACGACCTGCTTATTGATGAAAACAAGGTAAGTCCCTTAACCAAGATGACAAACTTGTAACTTTTCTATATTTCGAAATTTCGTTCACATTGAAGTTATAAGAATTTCACTATAGGCATAAAAAAACAGGGTAGCACCAGTTTTCCGGCATACCAACAAAAAAGATAATCTATGACAGCAAATACTTCATGAACATTGACAAGATGAAGGTAAAACCACTAGAATAAGAGAGGGAGAAACGAACAGGACGTGGTAGAGAGATTATTTTGTGTTAACTGAGTAGGTAGATAGGCAATTATCCATCCAATATGCTAAGGGTATTTCATCAGCGAAACAGGCAATATCTGAAGCAGACATAAGACATTGACGTTCCCTCATTCAAGGTGTACATAATTACTATCTATTGTAAGACGAGAAACTTTAGAAGTTTACCATATTTTACACATATATGTACGACCTGTAACTCCGACAGTAGAACCTTAGGGGCTACGTTGCATCTGACTGACTAGGGGCTACTGCCGGTCCCAAGCCCGGATAAAGGAAGAGGGTTGGACATGGGGTTGGCGACCCCATCCCAACTATAAACTAACTTGCCAAAAAAACGCGAACCAGAAAAACTAATTCAAACCATTTTCACTCTGCCCTGGGAATTGGAAGAAGAATTATGACGTCTCGTGATGAAAGCCGAGTTCCCTCGGAAGTCATGGGGCCGATGCCTCTTCTGACAACCAGAGCAACCATTCTCCTAGGTACATGGAACATTCGAACATTGTGGGAGACTGGAAGCCTATTTCAAGTTGCGTAAGGAATGAAAAGATAGAACCTCGAGGTGCTCGGCATCAGTGAAACGCATCGGACACAGGTAGGACAACTGAGACTAGCTTCAGGGGAACTGCTGTTATACTCTGGTCATGAAGAGGAAAATGCTGCACATACACAAGAAGTTGCATTGATGCTGTCCAAACAAGCACAAAAGGCACTGATAGGATAGGAATCTCATGGAAACAGGATCATCAAAGCATCCTTCAAAACAAAGAAAGAGGACATTACAATGAACGTCATCCAATGTTATGCACCTACCAAATACCATAGTGACAACATTAAAGATCAATTCTACAAGAGGATGCAGTCAATGGTCCACAGATGCTCACCAAAGGACTTGACCGTTCTGTTAGGAGACCTAAATGCCAAGGTTGGAGTGGACAACATTAGATATGAAGACAACATGAGACGACACGGATTGGGAGGGAGGAACGAAAACGGTGAGATCTGCAAACCTATGTGCCTTCAACAAACTGGTCATCGGTGGCACAATATTCCCACACAAGCACATACACAAAGCTACATGGATTTCACCGGACCACACTATTCAGAACCAAATCGACCATATCTGTATCAATAAAACGTTCAGAAGGACCATGGAGGATGTGAGAACCAAGAGAGGAGCTGACATAGCCTCAGATCACAACTTGCTGGTCGCTACAACTAAAGAAGCACTGGACAACGGGGCAGACAACATCACACAAGTTTAATACAGCCTTTCTTCGGGATACCGTAAAACTCAACGAATTCAATATAGCCCTCAGCAATAGATTCCAGGCCTTTCAGCATCTACTCAATGGAGAGGAAACAACCTTGGAGAACAATTGGAAAGGGATCAAAGAGGCAATCACTTCAACATGTCACGAAAGTTCTGGGTCACAGGAAGTACCATCACAAGGAATGAATCTCTGTTGGTACTCTTGAAAACATTGAAGAAAGGAGGAACAAGAGGGCAGCAGTCAATGTCAGCCAAACAAGAGCAGAGAAAGTTACCGCACAAGCTGCATACAGGGAAGTGAAGAAGAGTATCAGAGCTGACAAACGAAAATATGTGGAAGATCTAGCAATGACGGCGTAAAAGTCTGCAAGGGACGGAAATTTGAGGCAATTATACGATACAACAAAGAAGCTCACTGGAAACCATCGTAAACTAGAACGACCAGTGAAAAGCAAGGAAGGCAAAGTAATCAGCAACACTGAACAACAGCGAAAAGGTGGGTAGAGCACTTTAAGGAACTCTTGAATTGACCAGCTCCACTGAACACACCCAATATCGAAGCATCCACGGACCTTCCAATTAATATTGGCGCACCTACGATTGAGGAGATCAGTATGGCCATCAGACAAATCAAGAGCGGCAAAGCAGCACGACCAGACAACATTCAACAGAGGCAATGAAAGCAGACGTGGAAGCGACTGACAAAATATTTCACATCCTCTTCAAGAACATTTGGGATGAGGAACAAGTACCATCAGATTGGGAAGAATGATACCTCATCAAAATACCAAAGAAAGGCGATCTCAGAAAGTGTAAGGACTACACACAGGAGTCACTCTTCTTTCGATACCAGGCAAAGTCTTCAACAGGGTATTGTTAAACAGAATGAAGGACTTCGTAGACGCCCAACCTCAAGATCAACAGGCTGAATGGAACTCACCACTATACATCAACTTCACTAACTATGATAAACCACTATGGAGGCTTATTCGACACTGTGGCGTGCTTGAGAAGATAGTCAACATTATGCGGAATCCTTATGATGGATTAAGCGGCAAAATCGTGCACGGATGTCAGCTGACAGACTCGTTCGAGGTGAAGACCGGTGTCAGGCAAGGTTGCTTACTCTCACCCTTTCTCTTTGTTCTGGTCATCGACTGGATTATGAAAACGTCAACATCTGGAGGGAACCACGGTATCGACTGGACAGTTAGGACGCAGATGACCTGGCTCTTCTATCGCACACGCAACAACAAATGCAAAAGACGACCAGTGTAGCAGCAGCCTCTGCAGCAGTAGGTCTCAACATACATAAAGGAAAAAGCAAAATTCTCCGATGCAACACAACATGCGTCAACCAAACCACTCTTGATGGAGATGCCTTGGAGGCCGTTAACACCTTTACATATCTGGGCAGCATCATCGACAACGAAGGTGGATCCCATGCAGATGTGAGGGCTCGGATTGGCAAAGGAAGGGCTGCATTTCTGCATTGTCACAAGAGGAATTTTGACCTTTCTGATACATTGGGACGATCGATGAATGAGAGCAAGCGAATGGAAAAAGATAGACCCTAAAAATCTCACACCTCCACTTACCGCACGGATTTCCATCTCCGGTGGTAAGGAATCGAAAACAAGAACAGAGCTAATACTATAAAAACCTCTCATGAAAAGTCTATGCATGAACGGCCTCAAGCTGTTGTCCTTTAGTCTCTTTGGTCACGTTCCCAGGTCGTTAGGACCAACACTAATCTACCTTCCTTTACAAGTCTATCAAAAAGCTTGTACAAGGTTAATATACCTGTTTCCGAGAGTCTATCAGTTCTGCAGGTGCTACTGACATCCACAGCTTGTCTCTGACCTTATGGAATACCTTACAAGCATATATCATTCCAAACTGCCCCTGGAAGGAAATCACTTGCTTGACTGCCTGTTTTTTTAATTGTTTCTGGAATATATTCTTAGCTATTCTATCATGAACTAGGACCCTATGACGTTGCCTTGCGAAGCCTTTCCTACGTCCAATAAGTCGCACACAAATACGCGCTCGCACTAGAGAATGATTTGAATATCAACATGTGCCCCAGAACGAGCGACAGTCCTCTATCGAATCCCTCCATAGGTGGCTGCTGGTAGGGATGTGATGTAGCTGAGTCCAACGTTGAGACGACTTTGTGGGAAGCCACATCAAAAGATGTCTTTCCCTTTACTTAGAGTTAGTGTTTGCTAGAAATAGGCGGTTATCTGAGCATAGCTGCAGCAGACGGTCGCCATTATCTGTTCTCTAAGCCGCGAAACCATACGATCCACACAAGTATCTTTCCTTTTCACTCAGTCTACCTACCTGGGCATTGAAGTCACCAGCCACTATTACTACATCAGAACGCCTAACTTTTTAGAGGTCTGAACGCTTTCTGTAAAACTCATCTTTCACCTCGTCTGAACTGCAGCCAGTGAGATCGTAGGCAGATACGATGGAGGCGACGGCGAGTGGCCCTATCTTTCCGAATCCTTACTGTCCCATTCAGTCGGACAGCGCACAAACGAGACGGAAATCCGTGAGGTAAGGTGAGGTGTGTCATTTTTAGGTTCAACCTTTTCTAACCTGTTCTTTCCTTTCTTGTGAGAAGGCAGCACCGCTGCAGATGCCTTCTTGTCCGTCGGAAACACGTTGCTGCTGTCTCAACACTCTAAAGTCAGCAGTACGACTTCGCCCTTAGACCTTGATTAGCCGCTTTTAGTCTGATCGTTCTGCAATCGACCTGCCTGGCATGGTAGAACTTTCAGGAACATATTTTCCAGCCAATATAGCTCGGTTGGGTCGTCACGATAGGCAATCCCGACCACTACGTCAAGGGAGCAGCGTCGGTCGGGTATATTTCAGTATAGTAAAGATAGTAACGGTATAAGTGGTAATCGAAAAGAGCAGGCATCCTAGGTGCAATTCAGGAAAATATAAGTTTGTAAAACAAATCAGAACAATACTATTAGAACTAAGACGTTTTAAATCTAGGGCAAGACAAAGAGCGAATGCACCTAAGGCACTACAAACGACTTTCAGCCATATTAGTCAGTCTTTAACCACTGGTTAAGACTATCAAACAGACCCAAACTAGATGTCATACATCTAACATGACAGTCAAACTGTTAATGACTCTATTACCAAGTATTGGTTTGATCACTCTCAGCTTTCTTCTAGCCAACTACTACACCAGACACCACTCGTTGAGATAAGCGATGGTTGGGCAGCTACGTTCGGGTGCATTACACCGCACAAGAATATAAGGACATATTAAAATCTGCCCCAAAGTTTAGAGACGGAATCATAGTGAACATAGAGATGTCTAGAAGGAAACTTGTAGAGAGCTGTATCTTCCAAGATACGATTATAATTACTTGTTATTTCTATTCTGTCGGTGTACTGTCGATATTAACATTAGCAAATGCTATAAACGTTTAGAGAATATCAAGCCAGTAAGTTTGATTGGGTTTGGAAGATACGTTAAGAAACAGTGCAAATAATTCAAACAACTCTCATTATCGAAAAGTGCGGAACTACTTTAGGCTGTCGATTGTGTTTGGAATAGTGGTTCAGGGGGTTGACATAACTGTTTATTGTCCTGAGTTATTTTTTAAGATCACCAAAAATATCCAAAAACTCCAGTCGAGCTAGCTAAGAGTAGGATTTTGTTCTTCTCATCAATTTGAAAAACCTTGCCTAAGCAATTGATATAAAACCGAACGGTGAACACAGTTACAGATAAACAGAACTTTTACAGAAAGATCTGATGCAGCAACTAATACTAGCCAGTCAACCTACTGCTTATTACTGAAGACTGACAATCAAAACACCTCACCTGTACCCTCAAGAAGTCCAAAGACAGGGATGAACAAACGAAGTTCATACAATGCCAAAAAACCGTCGGCCTACTTTACGCAGTGACTTGCGAGATTCATTACACTACAGAAATTTTCAGAATTCAAGCCTGCTGTTTGAAGCTTTACTAAAAACTACAAAACGCCATTCTTAATTTTTGAATCTTCAAATCAAAAGATTTTACATTACTCTTGCACATGCCCAGTTAGTTTCATATCAGAAGCTAAGCATCAGACATGCCAAGAACTTAAGTAAAAAGAGAGTAAGCTATAATTTACCATTTAATTATACCAATTGGGACCAAAACTTACGAATTACCTGACAACAACATGTCAAATTTAGCGACTCGCAAACGTATATCAATGTTCGATACATTGTCCACTATCAAATCCAACCAGAGATAGGCAGAGCAGGCAATGAACGTTAACGAGGAAAGGAACAAGCTATAACCACAAGATGCCTGGTCTTCATTAAACAAGCATTTTCCATAAATGTAACAGTCATTATGCACAACTGCGATGTTGACAATCGCTAATATCTAAAAGCACTTAGTGTCTTTTGTATGGAATTTAATTACCACAGTAATCAAGCGCAGCAGAACCTGTGGCTTTCGAACGTAATTTATTGGTTCCAGGCGAGCAGTAGTGTATATCCAGTCAATGGAAAACATGGTCCCACCAAGGTCAACTATTACCCGCGGCTCTATAATAGTACTGAAAAGTGGTTGCTTGAAATAGCTAAACGCACGCATCTATTTATCAACTACAAGAAACCCGACTCATTACATTATTTATAGACATCTTTATCTTATTTTGTTACGGGGAACAGTCGATGTAAAATAAAGATGATTGCTCTGCTCAAACTCACAAAGGAAAGCTGGCCACAGTTACTCAAGAGCGAAATTTCGGTAGACTTTACCAAAACCGACTTCAGAAAAGTATTTTACAGGTTTATTTGCAACAGTCGTCAAATGGTTGAGCATCGTTTGACATCGCGCTTGTATTTAAAACGTCACAATTGTGTTCGGAAAGGAAGTAAAAGTTACAACCTCAGCAATCTGAAACAGATTTATTGTTACCTGTTCTTCTTTTCGGTAAATTGATACATATACTTGCTGAGGAAGAACATTCATATGAATTTGAACAGTGTAATAATAAGACCAAAATTACTAAAACTATGTGATATAAAAGTACAACCCATTTCAAACTGTCTGACCACAAATATTTCTTTAAAAATTTACACTTAAAAAACAAATGGTAAACCAGACAAAAGAATTATAACCGAGGGAAAGAATAAGGAAGAAAGTAGTGTGAAGCAGGATTTGTAACCCACCAAGCCGGATAAAAAATCATTCTAATCAAAACTTATAATTTATGTATATTAGAAATAGGTGCTCCTCAAGTAATGAATAATTCAGGTCCTGCTGGAATTTCTTGGACGGGAAAATTAAAGAGTAAATTACCTAAATATTGATTTAGCCAGTAAAGACTGAATAACTATTTGATCTCGAGTGGAAACATTTATGGCATAGTTTGACAAATGAACACAATAACCAAGTTATGGAGCACAATAACAATACTAATTTACTACAGACAGTAGGCGACTCCATTCTACGGGGATAATCAATCGGTTTTCACACGTGATACCGACAGTATGGTAAGATAAATACTCTGAAATCCCCTCCACAAACAGTATTATTCGATGGTATTTCTACCTGTTCGACTTTTCTCAGTATGTGAATAATAATAATTTACTCTCAAATAACAATGTGTTGTACTCCAACCTTCACCCAAAACCTGCGAAACCATGTTTCTTCCTTGAAAAATCTTTATACTGAAATCACAAATCAATCAATTTTAGATATCAATTAGAAACCTGGAATCACTTAATGGCTATTTTGGTCTAGTACAGGATTCATTAGCAGTGCACATTCAAAACCACGCGCCTGAGAAACTAATCTAGCACCTTCGGTCTTTCGGGAGAGTACCTGACCTTCAGACCAGCAAACCGATAACTAACAGTGTTAATATTTCACTTCAATCAATTCTAAACGGGATGAGACTTCACCCTTGGTCTTTGGTGGGTAATTGCCTAAAACTCAATACGGTTCAACCCCTTAGGTCACGGCTTGATAGATTCATGGTGTAACTGGAACCAAACAATCTCCATAAGGCTATAATGATAAACTTTCATAATTGAAATACATACGTCACTATTATACGATGTAAGATAGTTGACAACAAAATTGTGTTCGACTAAAATCAAGTTTACTGAATGAAATACGTGATTAATGTTGTCGTATTTATTTCCATTGGAAACGTCGTTAGCTGTCCTGATCCTTGCAAACAGTGATCTGATCCTATTTAACGCGATATGTTCTTATTCATCCTCATGTACCTAATATATTTATCCGTTTCATCTGATACAAATTTTGGTCGCGACTGTGAAATTCGTAACCGTGATGAGCGTGGAGATGTCCACTGTTCTGACTGAAATCATATCAAAACTGACTATGAGTCACTAACTTTAACAAAATAAAATAAAATGATTTGGAGACATTTTCAAACAGAAGAATAACAATTCTAACGTCAAATTCGGTTAAGGAGGCGCAAAAATCACTAAATATTTTCATCTAGGGGGCAGTAATTAATTGAATAATTAACTATTTCTCTCAACGAAATTTTACACCTTAGAACAGTTAATCCAAGTGAATAGGAGTCAGAAACCATCTCTGACAGTTCTTGCAAACCTAGGTTCTGGAAGAAACGGTTTATTTAAATGTTCATTCAACCTGTCGACAGAACGATAATCTGGAGATAGAAAAGAGGATCTCTACCCGAAGGTATCCAAAAGTCCAGGAAAGGAGTCACGGTTCGTGAAGAATACTTTAATATTCTGAATCTGAAAGATCATTCGTACACAAGAATAATTTATACTCTCAAATAACATTATGTTACATATGTGTGTTAACACTAAATTATGAATCCACTGAGTAACTGTGTGAATTGCATGAGAAAAGGACCGAACGCAGAAGGCCTCACTAACCTAGAGATGGCTGAAACCTTCAACACTAACTTTACTGAGCCGTTAAACCAGGCATCCACATATTCAGAGTACTACGCAAACGCAGTGCCATCTAACGGCTTAGGGAATATCCGTATCACTCCTGACTCAGTATTAAGGTAACTAAAATCCAGGTAAGTCACCAGGCTGTGACAAAGTTCGCCCCATAGTCTTAAAACAATGTGCAAAAGTCCTCTGTTCACCGATATGTGACCTGTTCAGGCATTCACTGGAGTCTTACCAACTCCCACCTAAATGGAAACAAGCTACTGTCTCTCCAGTCTTCAAAGGAGGAGATAGAGAGGACCCAGCATGTTACAGACCAGTCGCATTACTACCAATATTACCAACGTTACTGGAAGGGCTGGTATACGAACGAACGAGGGAGTACATGGATAAGAATGAAATAATCCATGAAGCTGAACATGGGTTTCGGAAAGGCAGGTCGTGCGCAACTAATATTCACATCTTGGGTCTCAAATTAAAAATTGGCAGGATTTAAACTGCCTGCGACTTCCTCAGCTACGATGAACAGGTTCGCCCCTTAAATTTCATGTGATATGCCTCTAGCCTCTCCAAGTTTTAAGACTGATAATGATAAAAACATGTCAGACCAGCATCTGATCATCCACAAAAATGATAATTATCCAAAAGCTAGGTACACTGCACAACCACTAGACCCTAGAGTTATTAGTGACTGTGGAAGTAGATGATTTTTCACCCCACACCCTATCTTTAATAACCAAGCTCTTTTTGAAAAAACGCTCATAATGAAAACTCGATGTAGTTTCTTTACTGTTCGACTGTGTCTACCGTCAGCCTAATGCACCAGCAGGAGATCTAGCATCATTGTCAGAAGTATGCAAGTTTGTTCCATCCCTACCGTTTACAAGCGCGGCTATTTGTGGGGACTTCAACATGCCTGAAATCTCTTGGTTCCCAATCAAAGCACCTAAACAATTCGAATCATTTATAAAATGCTTAGAGCTTTGAGAATGGACTCAACATGTTGACGGCCCAACCAGAAATCAAAATACATTGGATTTAGTTTTCACCAGCATTCTCATTCCTAATACTGTATATGTTAGAAAAAAGTTCCCAAGTAGCGATCATAGTGTGGTCATATGCAGCCTTGATATGGTATTTACAACTATAACACATAAATCCAATACATTTCATAGGGAGTTTTGTAGTATAATTGAGCAAAATTCCAGAATCGCCTGAGAAGCATTGACTGGACTAACTACTTTACCGCGAACTATACCGCTGAACCAATAAATGTATTTTATTGCAACACAAATAATAAATTCAACAAATTCGCACCCTTAGGATCCTGGAGACCCAGGTCATATATGAAAACGTCTTCAAAGACATGCTTCCAGACTTAATAACTGTAATGACTTCTCCTCATTAGTAACGAGGAAATAATACGTACTAAAAGGGAAATTTCACAGGAAAAGCGTGCTGTTCAGCTGAATCCAGTGAATCCACAACACTTGTAAAACCCCTTCGGAATAAACTTAAGTGTAGAATTCTTTTTGAATGTTTTGTTTTTTGGAAAATCCCTCCATGTTTACGTATTTTTTGCTATGACATGATGGACTTTTTCCTTTGACATTTTTGGTACTTTATTCGATTCCAATTTGAGATTTTATCATTGTATATTGTTATTCTTTCTATATTTTGTACTTATTTTGAAGTTTTTGTGTTTGACTCTGAACTGTACATATATTGTTTAAATTTGATATAATATGGCTACCGCCACATTTTTGGACGGACGCAGTGGCTGCTGGACTTACCGTCACTTATTGGTTATTGTGTCGGATACTCTGCGGAGTAACTTAACCCTGGAAGAAGTACAATTTCCAGACGTTTTCTCCTAGAATTTTGTCCTTTTTGAATTGGTTGGGACCCGGAACTAGGAAAAGCGTGCAGGAGTGTTTCTATTGGAACCAATTGGGACGGCCACTGTTGAAATAGAAATTTACATTAAGTGCTCCAAAGTGAAAGGAGGTAGCATATTTATTAAGGACAACCAAGTGTATGAAGACCCTAAAAGTATCGCAAAGCTATTAAGCGATCATTTTTGTGCTACATTACCAAACGAAAACCCAACAAATGAATCACATCTGACCTAAATTCCTTCCTGTGAAATCGTCAGTGTTGAATTTAGTGTACAAAACATTTTTAAGGCGATTAGTACAGTGAAGCACTCTTACACTGAACGACCAGATGGTATCCCAGCCAGCCTGCTGAAAAATGGGAGCAATGATCTGTGTGCTATTCTCTTTATATTATTTACGATATCACTCTCCACAGAGTGTTACCCTACTAACTAGAAGACTACACATATCATCCCCACAATTATATGTGAGCCCGCATCGAACGTTGAAAAATATCTCTCCACAGACCAAAGTTATTCGGAGTCAGTAACCCACTACATTCACGATTTGCTTCGATTCCTAAATGGGCGCCAACAAATGGTTAAGTACAACGATTGTATTTCATCACTAAGACCAATAACCAGTGGAGTTATCCAGAGAAGTGTATTAGGTCTACTCTTGTTTCTTATGTACATAAACGATATATGTAATACTATAAGATTTG